GAGTTCATATCACACACAACACTTTTATCAGAAATGGGAAAACTCACCTGTGACACCAGCTTCCAGGCAACATCTCATATACAAATGAATTGGTCAGAAGCTTATGGAAGCTTCCTCTTGACATGAAAAAAGGTCACAAGCCAACCTCATTTCAATAAACTTATTTCCAGATACTGACCAGATATTCCCACATTGCAGAAGCAAATTCCTAACTCAAGTTACTTCAACAGATTCTGGTAGCTTTAGGTTTTTATTTTAAAATGTGGTTGGTTTAAGAGAATAGATTTAAACACAGAAATTACTAGAGCTAAGTAAGGGAAAAAAAAAAAATCAGATGCATTGAAGTCCATAATCTGTTACCTTGATCTAAATCATGTTTCAACAGTGGCTGTCCAAGGAGGTGAGATTTCCATAGAGACTGCCCACAAAACCAAATTAAATTTGAAATTACCCTATTTACAGGTGGATGCTGCCAAGCCCCAAGGACCTTGTCCAGGGAGTACTCTCAGAGGTGGGCCAGGCCCTGTCTCAAGTGCTGATCTCTGTCTGCAGTCCTGCCAAGGTACCTTTCACACTGGGAACTCCAGGGACAGCTGATGGACCTCCACAGAGAGCAGATTTTGACATTTATGACAATAATGGCAGTTAATGAATTCCATCTTTTACATGTGACCTAGTTCTACATGACAAGGTGAAATGTGGAGTGTCTCCCACCTGACAGCCCAGGGAAGCTCTGCAGGACCTGCCAAACTGTGGCTGCACTGCAGCAGAGGGGAGTGACACAGCCCATGTCACAGGACAAGTCTGTGGCACAGGATTTGGAAATGAGCCCTGCCCCACTTGCAGGCTGGTGCTGAAGCCACCAGGCACACCTGGCTCTGAGACAACCCCTACTGACAAATCCCTGCATCACATCTGCTGCACTTCAGGGTTAGAGCAAATAATGTACACCCAACTCTGCCCCAGTGCCCACACTCACTCCTCCCAGTCACCAAATTCTTCAAGGCTTGACCTTGCCCTGACTATCCTGTGTTCAGCCCCAAGATGCACCTTGGAAAAGCATCACCAAAACAGCAAAATACAGGAAATCCCTTCCTGCCTCCAGGCTGAGCACCACAGGAATAACCCGAGAGCTGTGGCCATAGGAAAAAGAAGTATCACTTGAATAAATATTTTGTAACACCCATTCCTTAGAAGATATGAAACCAGGAGAAACCTCCCTGCACTTGCCTGCATGGGGGACCCCAGAACAAGCACAGAAGAAAATTCAGAAGTAAATGTCTTCCTCACCTTCAGCAACACGCTCAAGGCACAAAACTTATCTAGAAACGCCATCTAAAGAACAGAACATGCCACAGATGATTAAAAGGCAGAAGCAGAGCACCATCAGCCACCCTACAAATTGATCCAGGAACAATCAGTATGTCAGGCACATGTGCCAACACACAAGTGAGGTGGCTTTGCCATGCAGCAAAATGGAAATGTCAGGGGCCTGCAGGCTGCTGCAGGGCAAGCAAGCACAGCTCTGCTCACAGAGTCAGAGTTTTGGGGTGCATCTAAAGCTGCAAACTGCCCCTCCAGATCAGATCAACACAGGGACACATGCATGTTCTTCCCTCTCCATCAGGAAGAGTGCCTTGGCAAAGACAAGCTGTTCTGACACTCACTGTGAAGCTCTGTACATGCCATATTTTCTAATGGAAGTGGCTGCAATACCACAGTGGTCACCTGGGAGCTCTCTCTGCCCAGTGCTGTGCCTGCACTCTGGGGAAACTTGTTGCATTAAATGATCAGGGCTCAAGACGAATCAAAATCTGCAAGAAGCTCAGCTGTCCTCCAAGGCAGAGCAGCCTGCATAATTATTTTATGGAAAAAAAATCCCCTCCAAAACAAAACAGGGATCTGAGCAACAAGTCAATCGAGAGGGGGGCAAAGCAGAGTAAATGACCTCTGACAACGCTCTGCATGCAAAAATTTGAGAGCTTCAAAAATCGCTGGAGAAAAAAAAGGTAACACAGAAAAAGGCACCTGCCTGGGGGGTCCTTTCCTGGAGCAGCCTGAGCCCTGCCTTGTGAGGCGCCAGGGCAGGCTCCACCCCAGAGATAACACCATGCTCTGCCTCTCGAGGCTTTGTGTCTGTACAAAGGTGTCTCAGTCAGCAGGCAGTGTATCGAGCCCACAGGCCACTCGGCTGCAGATAAGGACATTCATACTTAAGGGGCTTCCTTCCAAGCTAAGCTGGGTCCTCTCAAGCATCTTTTTGCCCTGGTGCAATACTCAGTAAAAAAACCCACTGGCTCCCCAGGGACTGAACTGTCCCAGCCAGAGATGTGGGTGTGAATTAGATCCCCAGCCTGCTCCCCGAGGCCAGGACACTCCCCAGGCTGGCACCAGTGGTTGTGGCTGACCCCTGTGCCTGTATCCCTTCTGCTCGAGAAAGCAAAGAGGGAGCACGCTGGAATTTGCTCTTCACCCCAAAGCAAAAGGCTGAGGCCGTGACTCCGTACTCAGGCTTCCTGTTCCCCGCCTCCCCCTACACATTCTGTACCAGCGCTGGCACCTCGCTGATGAAGCCCACTTTACGCAAAGCAAACACGCTGCAAATCCGCCTTCCTCCCTTCCCAACTTCCTCCTTGTCCAGGCCCTGTCCTCCAGTCCACCCCAGCACGGCACTCTGCGGTACCCTTCCCAGATCCGTCCTGCTCTCCCGGGGCCCCCCATTGCTCTGGCACTGCTGGCCCCATGCAGCCCCACTGTCCCCTCCGACACTGCCCTGTCCCGCTCTGCTCCCTCATTGCCAGGCTCTCCCTGCGCCCAAGCTCTGCCCATCCCCGCCGCCCGCAGCTCAGGTCCCGCACCCTGACCGCCCCCTCCCAGCCCGGCATCCTGCAGGCCGCCACCCGTGCCCGTTCTGCCCTCCTCGTTCCCGGGCCGCCCCCCGGTAGCACAGCGCCCGCTGGCTCAGCGCCGCTCCCCGGCCCCACATCCTGCCTTGTCACCGTGCCCCGGCCCCCACCTTCCGCCCGTCTCAGCCCCATCCTCCCCCGGCACCACCCGCCAGGCTCCGCTCCGTGCCCGGGCGCCTGGCACGGCCCGGGCCCCGCCAGCCACCGCCCCCTCGCCCCTCCCTCGGTCCGGGGACCCGTCCCCGCCCCGCCCCGGCTCCCCTGCCCCTACCCGGCGGCCGCGCCCTCGAACTTGAGCGTGAGGGTCTCCTCGATGATGCGGTTGTTGACCTCGAGCAGGATCATGTCGGTGCCGGGAGCGGCTCTGAGGGAGCCGAGCCCGCTGCGCGCACCGGGGACCCGCCCGAGCCTGCGCCGCCGCTTCCGCTCTCGCGCCCGCGCGTCACTTCCGGCTCGGCGGCGGCGCCACCGCCCCGCCCCGCCTTCGCCACGCCTACACGGAATGACGTCACAAGGAGCCCCGCCCCGCGGCGGGCGGGAAAGGGGGAGGCGGTCCCCGAATGGGACGCGGGGGTGTGTGCCCTAAATGCGGTGGGACACGGGGGTGTGCCCCTAAGTGCGGTGGGACACGGGGATGTGTGCCCTAAATGCGATGGGACATGGGATGTTCCCCGTATGCGATAGGACACGGGGGTGTGCCTCTAAATGCGGTGGGACACGGCGGTGTGCCCTAAATGCGGTAGGACACGGGGGTGTGCCCAAAATGCAGTGGGACACCGCTGCAGGGGTCCTCGTGGTAAGGGCATCCCCGCCAACCGGGGTGAGGCAGGGATATGTGGTGTGCCTGCGGTTTGGAAGTCCCCAAAAGTGTGAGGTTCTCCCCCCCACCCCCGTTAATTGAATACTCACAGTGTTGGGGGTCCCCAAAACAGTGGGGTGCCCTTAGGGTTATAGAGATGCCCTAGGAAGCAGCAGGTGTGCCCCAGTGTATGGGGGGCTGTGTGAGAATTGGTGCCCCCGCGATATGGGGGTGCTTACAGGGGAAAATGGTATCTTGAAAAATGGATAATTTCAGAGCTACAGAACCCCAAAAATGTGAGGTGATGCAGGGAGTGGGGGTATCCTAGGGGGGCTGTAATGATACCCTGGAGCTGAGGGTTCCCCAAAACTGGGCAGGTGTTCAAACAGAGTATAGGAGTGTCCTTGAGTCTGTGAGGATACCCAAGGGATATGATGGTGGCACTTACCAGGTGCCCCAAAACGTGGGGTACCGGATGCATGGGGAATGGCCTTGTGTGCAGTTCTCCCCTGAGAACAATGGGGGCACTTGGAGCCACAGCATTCCCTGAGTCTGCGGGGCTGGCACAGGGGCACAGCTCTGTCTGGTGGCATTGATGGCATGGCTTGGCTTAGCTTAGCTTGGCAAGGCACAGCCAGGACAGTAGGGACATGGCACTGTAATCTGGGGGAGTCCCCCACAGCAACCCCTAAGAGAAGGCAACCAGCCTTGCAGTCCCCTGTGCATCCCCCAAATGCTGACACCACCCTTGCTCTGTCAATGGGGAAACTGAGGCACAGAGCCCTGCATTGCCATCACCCACTGGTCATGGCCTTGAGACCTTCTGCTCTCCTGGGGGGACTGCAGCACACAGGGGTGCCTTGAAGGGGATCCCCTCATCCACAGAGGGCCTGGGGACAAACTGGAGACCCCCAGCTGGAGACCCCCAGGTGCATCATCTCAGGGATGGCGCTGAACCCCTGGGTGCACCCCTGTGCAGTGTGGCCTGGGCCATCCTGGGACAGGAGGGTGACAGTGGGCTGCGGCCTCCCCTCGGGCTGGGAAAGGCATCTGAGGGGGGACCACGGAAGGGTCCCTTTGGCTGCCACTTCCTCTTCATTCTAGGAGAAGATTTTGCAACATTTCCTCCCCGGGCAGTATAAAGTCTGGAGGGAAGGGGTGCTGGGAGGTGGCACAGCTGCAGGCGCAGGTGAGGGATCTTCCGGCTGGAGAGACCCCTGGGTCTGGGACTGCCCTGCATCCCACCACACTTTGTACTGGAGCCCTTGGGGGTCACATCTGGATTTAAACCCATACCTGTGTGCTTCCCAGTGAGAAACAACTTGGGATCAGGAGAAGACTCCGCATTTGAGGGGACGGCGACAGCAGCAAGCAGTGAGTCCGTGGGGTGTGCCACTGGAGATTGTGGCTTTCCTTGGGCTTTGACAGCTCCCATCTGAGCCCCTTCACATGTGGAGCAGCCTGAGGGCTGGGGTGGGTTGCTGCAGTGCCCAAGAGGCTGCTTGGTAGAGGGAGGTGGTGGTGAGAGCACCCAAGGCTGTGCTGAGGGCTCATCTGGGGTACAAACCCTCCATAGTCCCCAGGGACATCAGCCTTGGGTGCCATGGGGAAAAAACCTGCTCCCATTTCCTTGCGCAGCGATGAGCCAGGAGGATCCTTCCCCATGGCATGTCCCTCTTTCCTCCCCACTGGGGGACAGCCACCCCGCTGTCCCCCAGCCCTGCCAGGGTCAGGAGGGGAAATGGAGTGCTGCTTGTTCCCCTCATCTGGGCCAGCTGTGCAGTGTCTGTGTGTGCTGTACCCGGGGCATACCCGTTTCCAGAGGAACCACCAGAACTTTGGAGCGGGGAGGCAGAAAGCAGCAGCCAGAAATAGATGCAGGGGAAGCACTGGCATCAGGCTCTGCCCCGTGCCTGTGGGAGCCCCACTAGGGAGGACATTCCCCATCAGCACCAGCAGCAGCCCTGGTTGCAGTCCTCCGGGATGCTGATGCCTCAGCATCCCAACAGCACCCACCTGGAGTCACCATCCCAGGATTTCCATCCCTGGATCACTGCAAGAGAGGATAAGCAGAGCCAGGGACAGATTTTTCTGGGCAGTGGCACCAGCCCAGCTGCAGCAGGGAGTTCACATCAGGCAGAAGTAGAAAGTCAGTTCAGGGATGGTTTGGGTTCAAACAGGGCCAGCTCGGAGCTGGGAACCCCAGCACTGGGGGTACTCAGCACTCCAAGCAGTCCTGGCATCTCCAAGCCCTGGAGGGGTTGGGGGGCCCAGAAATGGGACAGAGGGGTGAAACTGGAGTGAAACAAGAGTGCAGATCCATTCTGGGAGAAGACTGAAAGCCAGTGGTCCCTGGGGAGGCAGGAGCAGAGCGAGCTCACCATCTCCTATGTGTGAGGAGACAGGAAAAGCGACTGCCACCTGTGATTTCCCCATTGAGGCCAAGCACGGGGGGGACATGGCAGTGACCAGCTGAGCAACAGGAAAACCAGAGGTGTAATATTTCCAAAGCTGCCTGCAAAGTGTGACACGTCTTTCCGCCCAGGGCTTGAAACCAGTCCCGCAGGAGACATTGATGGGGAAGCCTCTCAAACTGAGAAGAGATGATCATTCTATGGGGGGAACCTCTTCTTCCACAGGAGTCAGGAAAGGGACAGAATTGGGGTGAGATGCAGGAGACTGAGGCATGCAGGGGGAGTTTTATGAGGGGGTATATGAGGAACAGTGTCTCTCTGCAGTACTGACCATTACCTGGCACAGTGTGGATGCTGTGTCCTCCATCACAGTGGAGTGATGAAGGACAGCTGCCCACTGGCTGGGAGGGGACCTGGGGGACAACAGAGATGCCAGAGGACCCAGAGATGCTGTCACCCCTGGTCCACAACCCTGCCACCCCATGCTCATGCCATTTTGTCCTCCACAGGCAAAATGGAGTTCTTGTCCTACAGTGGGGATCTCTCCAACATCTTAGCCCTTTACAACTACAGCTATGACTACAGCACAGCCATGCCTGACACTGCTGTCTCATCCTCTCCGTGCCGGCCTGAAAGCTCTGCCCTCAACAAGTACCTGGTGGTGGTGATCTACTGCCTGGTCTTCATCCTCAGTGTGGTGGGGAACGGGCTGGTGGTGCTGGTGGTGACCTCCATCCACACCAGCCGCTCCGTCACCGATGTCTACCTGCTCAACCTGGCCGTGGCAGACCTGCTCTTCGCCTTGACCCTGCCGCTCTGGGCAGCCTACCGAGCCCACGAGTGGGTCTTTGGCACTGTGATGTGCAAAGCCATCTCTGTGCTGCAGGAAGCCAACTTCTACAGCGGCATCCTTCTGCTGGCCTGCATTAGTGTGGACCGCTACCTGGCCATCGTCTATGCCACGCGGGCTGCCACTGAGAAGAGGCACTGGGTGAAGTTTGTCTGCTTGGGCATCTGGGTTTTCTCCACGCTGCTCTCCCTGCCCGTGCTGCTCTTCCGCGAGGCTTTCCGCTCGCCCAACAACGGCACCGTGTGCTACGAGCGCATCAGCGGCGAGGACACGGCCAAGTGGCGCGTGGTGCTGCGGGTCCTGCCACAGACCTTCGGCTTCGTCCTGCCCCTCCTGGTGATGCTCTTCTGCTATGGCGTCACCATCCACACCCTCCTGCAGACCAAGAATGCCCAGAAGCAGCGGGCCATGAAGGTCATCTTCGCTGTGGTGCTGGTCTTCCTCATCTGCTGGCTGCCCTACAACATCACGCTGGTGAGCGACACCCTCATGAGGACGCGGGCCATTGCCGAGACCTGTGAGAGGAGGAACAGCATCGACACAGCCCTCTCTGTCACGCAGGTCCTGGGCTTTGCCCACAGCTGCATCAACCCTATCATCTACGCCTTCATCGGCCAAAAGTTTCGCAACAGCTTCCTCAAGATCCTGGCGCAGCGTGGGCTGATCAGCAAGGATGCTGTTGCCCGCTACGGCCGTGCCTCCTATGCCTCCACCTCTGGCAATACATCCACCACCCTCTGAGCTCTTCTAGGACCCAGCCCTTGTGGGTACCAGCAGGTCCAAGCACCCCACACACCTCAGCATCCTCATCCAGCCCCCTGGAGTGTGGGTGGTGATGCCATGGAGATGGGCAGGGCCACCATTGGATGCTGGATCCCACCTGGAAGGGGGCTTGGATGGCAAGGTGGTAGGACCCCATTGCCAGGGAGTGATGTCAAGTGTGCACCCTGCCCTCTCTTTGGGACAAAGCCTGTGACCCTGTGGACTCTGTGAGACTGCTGTGGGGATGGTGTATTTACCCGATGACCATCCAGCAATAAAGGAGTTGGTGGGTTTGTCACCCATGTCTGCCTCCTCTTTGCCACGGGAAGGGACATGGCAGGTCAGGGCCAGAGCACCTCTCTGGTGACGGTGCCAAAACAGTGCTCCCTGCTGAGCCTGTCAGAGTGTGGGTTACCCTTCTTCGAGGACAGGGTTTGGCATCCTGTACATCCCCACAGGGGACCCAAGCCCAGGTTTTGCTTCCTACAGCTCCCCAGACAGGTCCTGGCCCTTCGATAATCTCTATGTGGAGTGTATCCCACCTGGGGACAAAGTTATTCTCTTTCCAACCCCAATCTCAACCCCAGCAGAGCAAATGCCTGAAAGATCTCTGAGCAGCCCCTCACACTGAGCCAGCCCTGTGACCCCTGCCTGAAGGGTACCAGCACCCCAGGCACCCCTGCTTCCCCCCAGCCATGGGGGCAGGAGATTGTTGTGCAAAGGGCTGGGAACCTGTGCCTTACACAACCGGGATGTTTCCGCCCTGGCTTGGGCAACTGGGGCTGACACTTGACTGGGGTCAAGGAGCTGAAGAGGGGACTGTGACCGTGCTGAGGAGTCTCCTTCCACTCTGTGGGCCAGGCCTCAGGATGTCTGCCCTACACCTACACATCTACACATCTCTCCACTGGAGTCCCATACTGCTCCTCCATTGAACTTGATCCAGGTTCCTAGGGGGTCCATAATCATGGGGACATCAGCAGATGTCACCCATGTGCTGGCTCATGGGTGGGTACGGGGGTCCCCAGCACCCAGGTGGGAACCCTGGAGACTTGGGGCAGAGCAGAGTGAGTGGGGGAGGAGGACAGCCCATCACCTTTGCATCTGAGAACCCTCTCGCCCAAGCGGTTCCTTGCAGTGTGGTAGGAAGCCAGAGCTGTTGGCCAAGAGCTGTCTACTCTCCCCACCGTGGGATGGTGCAGGCAGTGGCTCACCCTGGCTGCAGCTAGGACACCCTTTTTGGGGATGGTTCCCCCCAAGAGAACTTGAACACCCCCACAGCAGCATTCTCCACCCTGCACCCACCCCCAGTGTCAATCTGGCAGTGACCGATGGATGACACAGAAGACACAGGGGTAGCAGAAATGAGTAGTTTTCCACTTTGTGGACCAGCCGCAAGAAAGACACATGTCAAACCCAAAATGCTGGGCAGCAGGACCTGCATGCAGGCCCTGGACACCCCGGTAAGTCCAAGAGGAGGCGCCCAGGGCGGGAGGTGTCCCAGACACGGTGCCAGGGCTGCTGTGCCGCTCATGTGGCCTGCGGGTGCCTCTGCTGGTAGCAAATCAGGCAGCAGCGGCCGTGCTTGCCCATGTCCACGGAGCAGGTGTGGCACACCTTGCCCTGGCACAGCCTGCTGAGAGAGCAGGGGGTGAGAGCTGAGCCCGCACCGTGCCAGAGCCAGCCCCCGCTCCCGTCCCAGCCCACCTGCAGCTGTACCGCCGGGAGAGGAGGCGGAAATCCTTGTGGCAGCGGGCACACAGCCCTGGGTCGCGGGGCACCGGGCTGGGCACCGGGCTGTCAATGCCCTCTGTCTTCTGCCACAGGGCATCCTTCTCCCTGCGGGAGAGGAGAGGTCAGCGCTGCCTTCGCCGGGGCTCTGGTGCCCTCCTCTGGGCAAAGGGGTGTGGGTCCCCTTGCCCTCGCCTGGAGGCCCCGGGGCTCTCACCGCAGCAGCTCCAGCAGCCGCCCCTTCATGTCGCGGATGAGCTCCTGCTGCCGTGCCTGCTCGGCGCCGCGCGTCGCCTCCCGCTCCAGGGCCTCTCTCTGCGCCCGCTGCAGCGCCGATGCCCAGCGCTCGCCGTCCTGCCGGGCCCTGCCGCGGGACAGCGCCGACACCGTCCCCCTGTCTGTCAGCTGCTCGTCTCTCCGTCCCTCCATGCATGCGGATACACCTCCCGCCGCTGGTTCCTCCCTCCCTCGCTCCCTCCCTCCTTTCCTCCTTCCCTTCTTTTCTCTGCTGTTGCCCATCCATCCTTAAGCTCTCTCCCCATCCGTTTTCCCACCGCCACCCATCCGTTTTCCCACTGTTCATCCTCCTTCTCCACATCCATACCCCTGACGTTGTGCCCACCCACCCACCTACTCACCCCAAATTCATTCCTGTGTCTCTCCATCCACCGTCCCATCTCCATTCATTCACACTGAATTGATCCCTCCTTCCCTCCCTCTATCTACTAACGCCAAACCACTCCAACTCTCTGCCCACCCACCCTTCCACCCACCTATCAGCCCCAAATTGACCTCTCCCTCCAGTCCTCCCCCCTCAAATCCTTCCCTCCCTCCCCCTGCCGATCCCCAGCTGCTGTTTGGCTGTGTCCAAGCAGGACACCATTGGGAAACCCTCTGACAGGTGGAGATAGGAGGTCCCACTCTGGGGTGATGGGTGGTGGAAGAAGGGGTCCCTGCCCGACCTGCTGAGCTCCTCCTGCAGCCGTGCCATCTCCTGTCGCTGGGCCTGGAGCTGCTGCCGGCTCTGCCACGTCTCCTCCTGTGCTGCGGCAGCCAGGCTGGCCAAGCGCTGGGGGAGAGTGGGGGCTCAATCCTGGACCCCAAACCCCACCCCACCACGGGATGCCCTTGGGCTTGCCCATACCATGGCCATGCTGGTGACCGAGCTGGGCTCCCCTTCTGCCTGGGGGGCTCGTGGGGGCTCCTGGGGACCACGGGCGAGCTCCAGTGCCTGCCGCAGCACCTCCTCCACGGCAGCCACCTCATCTGAGGTACCAGCAACCTTCGGTCCGTCCGTCCGTCCTGCCGCCACCAGCGCTTCCTGGCATTCCTGCAGGCGCGATGTCAGCGCCGCCGCCTCTGCCCGCGCCCTGGCCAGCTGGGTGCCCCGCTCCTCTGCCACTTCTTGCCAGCGCCGTGCCTCCTCCCGTGCCCGTGCCAGTGCCCCCGGGTCCCCCGCTGCCACCGCTGCCTCCAGGGCCCGCTGCAGGAAGGCGTTGCTTTCCCGCAGAGCCTCCTCCTGGCGTGCCCAGAGCTGTGCCCGCCGGGCGCTGCCCTCCTCCTGCCGCCGCTGCCGCCGGTCCGCCCGTTCCAGCCGCGCCGCCAGCGCCCGGGCCGCCGCCTCCCGCTGCCCCAGCTCGGCCCGCAGCTGCGACACCAGCGCCTGCAGGGACTCCTCTGTGCCACCCGGCTGCATGGGCGCGAGTGACAGGGACCCCAGCATGCACCTTGTGCCACTGGACAGTGGGGACATGCCAGGCTGGGCTGCTTTGCCAGCGCCATGTGCATCCTCCAGTTCCTCTACATCCACATCCTTCATCTCCTTCTCATCCTCCTCCAACTCTTCATGCTTCTCTTCCAAATCCTCCTCCACGTCCACTTCCACATCCTCCACCTTCACCTCCTTTGTATCCTTACTGTCATCCTCCTCCACTTCCTCTCCATCCTCCTCTTCCATGTCCTTCTTCACCTCCCCATTCTCTGCATCTTCCCCTATATCTTCCACTTGCACACTCCCTGCCTGCAGGGCAGCCCAAGTGGGTGGGCAGGGATGGGCTGGTGGCCCATGGAGTGCCACAGTGGGATGTCCAGTGCCATCAGACCATCCATGTGCCACAGTGCTGATCCTGTCTGTCTGCAGGGCTGTCTTTGCTGGGCTGCTCCTCATCACCGGGCTGGGCCGTACCAGTGGCCTAGAGGGGACACAGGGCTCAGGACTACGAGGTCACCCCCAAGGGGAACAGGGCATCACCACCCTCCATTTGGGCTCGCTGGGCACAGCAGCCTTTAGGAATTTGGGGGGCAGCAGGGCAGGGGATCAGTGATGTTGGTGCCATCAGCCTGAGCACCCACAGAACACGTGGCACTCATCGACCCAAGCATGTATGCTTGTGACAGTCTGTGCACACGGGTGTGTGGGCATCAGAACAGGTGTGAGTGTGCTGGAACAGCTGCATCCATGATGCCCCCACAAGTGTGCCCAGGGCAAAGGTGTGCAAGCACATACGTGTGTCCCTGTGTGTCAGATGTCACAGTGTCACGGTGTTGCAGCAGGGACATACTTAAGCACAGGATGGCTCTGTGTGTGTACACATGCATATGGCATGTTTGCAGGCACAGGCAGGGTGTGCATGCTGGTGCCAATGACTGTACCCTCCACTGAGAGCTGGCACATCTGGAGTGCTGTGTGGGGTCTAGGGCAGTGGGGCAATGCACAAATGCTTCTCTGCAATGCTAAGCCCCAGGTGCCTCTGATGCCCTTGACATCCCCAGTGCTGCCAATGCCCCTGGTGCCCCCAGTGTCCCCAAGCTCACTCAGAGAACATGGGCCAGGCGGTGTCCAGGTCACTCCTGTACAAAGCCAGGTGGAAGGTGACACAGTCCAGCTCATAGAGGCTGCCCAGGATCTCTGCTCGCCGTTGGGGGCTCAGGAAGGGGCTACGGGCGTAGTACCACTCACTGCAACCACAAAACATGCATCCCTCTATGCCCTGGACAGGTACACATCCCTGCAGCACCTCTGCTGACTGGGTGCTACAGGGCACTGCTCACCCTGGCCATGTCCCCCACCTCCAGGAGCATGCCCTGAGTGTGCCCCTGCTCTCACCAGAGGCTCTCAGGGTCCAGGAGGCAGAGCTGCAGGGACTCTGCCAGCTGCCGGTGCACCAGGCAGTACCGCAGAAAGGCTCGGCCCCTGCCCACAGGCGTCTTCAGCTGCGGGGGAGAGGTGGTTATCCATCCATCCATCCATCCATCCATCCATCCATCCATCCCTGTCACTCCAGTCTGCCCCTCCACACACCTCCCCCCCAGCCCATGCAGGGAACGAGGGTTCCCAGGGCTCGGCCTAGGGTACAGTGGGGATCCCAGAGGGGACAAAACTGT